GAAAAAAACAACAACGAGATGAAAAATGGAACAGAAAAGACAAGAAAATTGGAGCATCAGTCAAGAAGCACCAACACAATACTTTCAGAAAGAACAGTGAAGAAATTATTAATATCAAAGAACAATTCGAGAAACTTTCTAAGAACTCTAGGGCATGGGTCTCCAAGATTGAAAAGGCCCACCGATGGACTTTTCAATTAAAATGAGTTTTTTAGAAAACACCAAGCTTTATCATGAAATTTTAGAACACTGATGATAAGAGACTTTTCTAAGAACATCCAGAGAGAAAATGCAAAGTACAGGAAGTAAAAATAGCATATGACTTCTCAGCAATAGTGGATGCTGGAAAACAATAAAGCAATACCTTTAAAATTTTGAGTGAAACTGGAATTCATAGCCAGCCAAACTATGGATCAATTGTAAGAGTAGAATAAGCAGGATTTTCAAACCAGCAAATCCAGAAAGAGCACCACACAGCTGCCAGGAAATAGTGGATCTAATATTGGAGAAGTCCCAGGATCACAACTATGCAACCGGCCAAGTGAGCAGCCTGTTGAGCAGGCGCTGGGAGGGAGGTTGCCACAGAAAAGAAGGAACTGGAGTGAGCGAGTGCGTAGAAAATGTTACTGCTAGTAGTAGAACAAAACACTGGACTATTTACAAGAAACGTTAATGGTTTCATGGATACCTATTATAATAAATGAAAAAATAAGCAACGTTTAATTCTCGGAAAAACAGTTCACTAGAAAAGACGCATAATTATAGCACACTACTCAGCTTGCTAGGGAATAATAGTTGTATAGTAATATGATATAAACACTGAAAACTAATTTTAGTTTCTTGAAGTGTGATAGAAGCATCAAAAAACTGAAGACACTGAATGAGGCAGGGGGAGAACTAAGTTTTTATCCACCATGCTAGAAAGTTGTGAGAAAGTCTAAAATGATAAGAAATAGCAGTTTACCAGTATTACTTAGAAAATAGATGTAAATACCAGGAGTAATAGCTGGAAGAGCTAAAGGTGGTTGCCTCTAGAAAATGGGACTTGGGAATGGGGTTGGTTAGGGC